ACAGTCTGAGGTTATATATGACCCTGACGATGATGTGTTTTGTTTCAGAATGGTGATGATTACGAGACACGGAGGAGGAGGTGCAGGGTCATGATCAGGTTCGGGATCAGGTTCTGAGCCAGTTGATGAGGGACTACGTGAGGTCATTGCTTTTGAGATCACTAGAGGCATCCTTGAGTCGACCCCAATGACTTTCGGGTCGATCAAGGATGGGGTTATTGAGCAGATAGAGGATCGCCTCAGGGAATTTAGGAGTGACTAGGCATCTGTCCAATCAAGGGTGCGCACATTGTCCTTTAAGGACTTTAGGGGATGCGGTGCCCATATTTCCACGGGGCGAAGGACCCCATTGCTGTCAGGAGATGGATTGCAGACATGTAGTTTACTCGTTTGATGAGCTTCTGCCCTGAGGGGTCGAAGGTCCGGTACACTGCAGGATGTTTGAGGGACAGGGCTAGAGATTCGAGGGAGTCAGTTAGTGATTCTTTAGGAACCTCAATCGTTGAGGCTATGACCTGGGCTGACTTTGTGACTAGGTTTAGGGTTGAGTTTGCGCCGGCTGTGGAGCTTCAGCAGCTGACCAGGGAGTTTCTTGACATGAGATAGACTAATGAGACGGTGGCGGAGATTGCCGCCAAGTTTTAGGAGAGGGCCTTATTGTTGCCTCAATATGTAGGAGATGATGAGACGTGGAAGACCCTCTATCATGATATGTTGAGAGCTGATATCCAGGAGCATGTTAGCTACTCAGCATGCCCGACCCTGGATTCCATGATTTCCAGGGCGAGGGAGAGGGTGATTGATTTTGAGCACCTTAGGAAGAGGAAGGCAGAGACGAAGCATGTTACAGCGGTTTCAAGAAAGAAACCCAAGGGATCTGACATTAGGTCGAAGGGCCAGTTGGGCTTGAGCCACTGCAAGAAATGCAGCAGGCCGCATGAGGGAGCTTGTCGATTGGGATCATCGGGCTGCTACAAGTACGACAAGACTAGGCACTTCAGTAGGGATTATACTGCCCCTACCCCCATATTCCAGACATCGGACCTGATTTGCTACCATTGCAATCAGAAGGGACCCAAAAAAGACCGATTGCCCAAGATTAACAGCAGCAGCATCGCCAGTGGTGGCACCAACTCCAACGACCCTACGGATTACTGAGGGCCGACAGGGAAAGACAGAGGCTTCAGTGGTGAGGAGCCGAGCTTTCCAGTTGACTGTCGTGAAGGCACGCGCCGCACTCGATTTGGTGACCGGTATGATTTCTTCTCCCTAACTTTATTTATATGTTGTTTATGATATTGATGTACCATATTATGTGTTTTGTTTAGGATCGTTCCATGTGAATGGTATTCCGGTTCAGGTGTTGGTTGATTCGGGTGCTACCCGATCATTTATCTCTCTTGTACTTAGCAAGAGGTTCCCTGAGTCTTCGGGCATGTTGGATTTCCCTCTAGCGGTCGAGATTGCCGATGACCGATCAGTACGGGCATCAGAGGTTTTTAGAGAGTGTGTTCTAAGACTGTATGAGGAGCTCTTCCTCGTAGACTTGATTCCCGTTTCGTTGCGTGGGAACAAGGTTATTATAGGCATGGATTGGTTGAGCTCCAATAGGGCAGTGATCGACTGTGCGTAAAAGTTGGTACGGGATAGAACCCCAAGTTTGGGAGAGCTGGTGATTTTGGGAGAGAGGCCACAACGTGGACTAGCTTTATGTTCAGCAGCAAGGGCTAGACGTTACCTTCATCAGGATTGCGTAGGATATGTCGCCTATGTTATAGATACCTGGGAAGCGGGTAGGGCGACGGTGAGCGATGTACCAGTGGTGCGAGAGTGTGTGGATGTGTTCCCAGAGGTGCTACCTTGGATAACTCCGGAGAGACAGGTAGAGTTCAGGATCGACTTGGTCCCTGGTGCGGCTTCGATAGCCAAGTCACCATATTGGTTGGCTCATCCTGAGATGCAGGAGTTGTCTACATAACTGAAGGAGCTATTAGACAAGAGATTTATTAGACCAAGCCGTTCACCCTGGGGAGCCCTGATCATGTTTGTGAGGAAAAAGGATGGGTCTCATCGGATGTATATAGACTATCGGGAGCTGAACAAGGTAACGGTGAAGAACCGTTACCTACTCCCGAGGATTGATGATCTCTTCAACCAACTATAGGGGGCATCTTGGTTTTCCAAGATTGATTCGCGGTCAGGCTACCATCAGATGAGGGTCAGAGACGAGGACGTATTAGAAGACTGCTTTCCGGACTCGCTACGGCCACTATGAGTTCGTGTTGATGCCCTTCGGGCTCATGAATGCTCCTGCCACGTTCATGGACCTCATGAACCGCGTATGCAGACCAATGTTGGATCGGTTTGTGATTGTTTTTATTGATTATATATTGGTTTACTCCAAGTCACATGAGCAACATGAGGAGCACTTGCGAGAGCTTTTAGATACCCCGAGGAGGGAGAGCTTGTACACCAAGTTCTCTAAGTGTGAGTTCTGGTTGTGCGAGGTGCAGTTTCTTGGGTACCTTGTCAACCAGAATGGTATTCTAGTCGACCCGGCCAAAGTAGAGGCTGTGATGAGATTGGGGAGGTTGCGAAGTCTCCATCTGAGATTCAGAGTTTCTTGGGATTGGCATGCTATTATCGGAGATTCATTCAGAACTTCTTCAAGATAGTCGTACCCTTGACCCAGTTAACGAAGAAAGTCGTAGTCTTTCGTTAGGGGCCTGAGCAGCAGGCATCGTTCGAGACATTAAGGTAGAGGCTATGCAAGGTACCGATCCTCGCCTTTCCAGAGGGGGTGGAGGATTTTGTTGTATGCTGCGATGTGTCCATCTCAGGGTTGGGCGCGATATTGATGCAGCAAGGGCATGTTATTGCTTACGCCCCGAGGAAACTAAAGCCTCACAAGGCAAACTACCCAACGCACGATTTGGAGTTGGGGCGGTTGTCATCACCCTCAAGATTTGGCGACACTACATCTATGGGGCCCGATGTACCATTTACATGGACCACAAGAGTTTGAGGTACCTCAGGGATCAGTTGAATCTTAACATGAGGTAGTGTCGGTGGCTAGATTTGGTGAAGGATTACGATTATGAGATCCTCTACCACCCGAGGAAGGCCAATGTGGTAGCCGATGCTCTTAGCCGCAAGGTTGCACTGATCAGAAAAATTTGCTTACGGATGACAGTGGTGACACCACTATTGGAGCAGATCTGAGACGCCCAGGACGAGGCTATGAAGGAGGAACATCGGAAGAGTGAGCGTATTGTGGGGCAGGTTTCCTCCGTTGATTATGATAGCTATGGGTTGTTGACACTACACTGTAGGGTGCGGATTCCATACCATGGAGGTGTGCGCCAGGTGCTGATGGAGGAGGCGCACAAATCCATGTTTTCTATTCATGGAGCTCACAAATCCATGTGTTTCTATTCATTGAGCTCGATGTGTCACAAAAACCGCATGATTTGATTTTAAAATTTCATAACTTTATATACTTTTAAAACCTTGACGAGACATGCCAAATATCAAAACAACATCATAGAAGGTAGGCAAATTTTCAAAATGAGACAACATTTTGAAAGTATGAGATTATCTTACTCTTTGTAATATATTATTGTATTATATAACAAATCGTCATAGTAAATGTAAATTTTCTTTTGTTTATTAGATTTAGCAACATTAATGAGGCAAGAAAGGGTATCTAAAACGTAAACCATAAATATGCCAACGCCAACGCCAACACCCCCTAATACGCCACATACACAAAATATAGTTTGACGTACATATTATCTTAATTCAAACACAACAAACCCTATATGACATACAAGATAAAGTTTATTAACTCAAAATCAACAACATTCAAGTGACTATTAGTTTTACCAATTTAGATCTAGAACTCTAATTTTTTTTAGCTCCGTTTGTATTTTTGTTAAGTTTATGATATTATCAAATCTTAATTATAAACGTCATTAATAATTTTCTTACCAAAAATATTAATAGATAATCATTTATTGATATATAACATGACTATTTATACACACACGCACGCACACACACACACACACACACACACATATATATATATATATATATATATATATATATATGTGTGTGTGTGTGCTGTGTGTGTGTTTACATGTTTTTTTGACAGTAACCTCTTGTATAAGTTGATTTGATTACAAAGAAACTCCTTGGGTTCGATATACCATGAAAACAACATAGTTGAATTTGAAATCAACCAGTCTTTATCCATTTTCTTAATATCGAAGGGACATTTTGCATGTCAAAGTAATCTCATAAGAGGTCAGCAAATGTTCACAATGTGATAATACTTTGATGTTATGAGATTATTGTACAATTATAATAGCGTTAACCAATGATATTTATACATTATAAAAGTATCCCTCAGTTAAAAAATACAAAAATTTTGCTTATTAGATTTAGCAGTAATGGCAAAAGAGGGTGTCCAAACCATTAACCATGGATATGCCCACCCAATGCTAATAAGCCATATGATGCGGTGAAAGAGGTTATACAAAGCATAAACTATAAATAACCGCCACAACCCTGAAAAATACCATGATTAACAAGAAGAGAATCGTTATATCAAAAACTAGTCAGACTAAATGTCCTTAACAAGATTTTTTTTTCGTTTTTCATCTTTCATTGTCACATGTACGCTCTCAATGTTAGAAAATCTATGACCTAAACGGAATTTGAAAATCATCTCTAATTTTTTTCGTTTTAAAATTATTATTTAGCTTACCATTTATATAATTAAAAAATATTTATATTTATACCAATTTATCAATTTTGAAAAAACTGGTTGCCTCCACAAATTTGAGTAAGTAGGGTTCCAGTTCAGTCTTCACCATATGATCATCAGAGTTCCTCCTCTTATCCAACGAGTTCATGCTCTTGTAGAGTTGTAGTTCCTTCTATACTTTCTACGTATGCAATGATATCCCATCAATCCAAAACAATTATCTTTTATCACACAAGAGATAATCAATCCACATTTCTGACGGACGACTATAATGATGAGCTGGATCATTTGCCCGGATTGTGGGTTTGTGTTCTTCGGGTCTGTCATAATTAAATTACATTCCACATTTTCCTTCTTCGATGTTTTCGAGACAAGGGGTTCTAAACCAAACCCCATCACCGAACAATCATTAGGCTAGTAGGGTTTCTTGATTTCTTCTGGACCCTATATGGCTTCTTCATCATCGAACAAGTCTTGCCTCTATTGCAAGGACTCTTCCTCCGATTGCTTTAGCAATGGATGGAAACTCCGCAACGGTGAATTCGCCCAGCTCTGCAATCGCTGCTCGTAAGCCTCCTCTCTCCTATCTCACTCTTCGATCCAATTGAATTTTCTATACATCGTTCATAGTACTTTAGTTTAATTCCGATTCGATCAGTGTCTTGTGTAATCTCCATGCCGATCTTATACTTGTTAGTTCTATTGTCGATTCTCTGTGGGGAATTCTGATTTGTAGCAGTCTCGCAATTGTTTTTATTTTTTTTATTTTTTTTAAAGAGATTAGTCTCACAGTAGTTCATAACTTGCATGCTGAATTCATACTTCATTTATACAAACCCCGATTTGAAATCCAACGAAATTAGAATGATTTTTAATACGATTTACCCTTTATTTCGTCTGATCATATGGAGAAAACATCCAATTGACAATGTTAGAGGATTCAAACTCAAACAAGAAAGGAAAGAAAAACGATTCAAGCTATCTTTTCTTGTTTGTGTATAAAGTTTTGTAGGGATGCAAGATTTGATGACCATAATCTTTAAAAATGTAAAATCTTTTCTAACCCAATTTGTATCTTGAATCCTTATAGCCATTTATACAATACGGGACGATTCTGTGTAACATTTCATTCAAAAGAAAATGGTTGGAGGAACTGTAACTCTTGTGGGAAGGTGAGTAAAATTCCGAATTTGTCCCTTCGATTTCTTCTTAACTCAAGGGTAGTTTTTTATGAGGAAACATTTGAATATGCAAACCAATATTTATTCATTTTTATTTTGCAGTTTGTCCATTGTGGATGTATTATGTCACTTGGTGAGTATTCGCTGTCGGATTTCCATGGGGTGATATGCACGGACTGTTCAAGGACTGAATGCATTAGCCAGGAATCGGAATCATTGATTCCGTTGTTTGAGAAAGTACTGACTGCTAGTGATACCGGTACCAAGTTAGGCCGGTTTATAATTCCAAAAGAACATGCAGAGGTGAAGAAAGGCAAAGAATTTACAGTATTTGGATTCTAATTGCGTAGATTTAGAATGTACTAATATTAATAAATATGCATGATTTTGATGTTTAAACAGGATCATTTCCCAGAAGTTAATGATCCTCAAGGGATCCCAATGAGTGTATTGGATACAGCAGGAGATACAGGTGACTCTTGATTCTTTTGTTAAGTTGTTTCTTAAATGCCTATGATTTAACTTCAACTAAGAGTAATCCCTTTATTTTTCAGTGGCTTTTTGTGCAAGGGAGTCGGATAGAAAGTTTGTGATGGATGTGAGGAAAAGTGGCTAGGGTTTTGAAGAATCTTGATATGGTACTTTGTTGCAGATGGAATTTGAGTTATAAAGTTTAAAGGTTTTGCTTTTAGTGTTGTAGCTATTGGCATAGGAAGACATAAGATTGTTGTTTTGATATTTCATGTTGTTTTATATTTGACATATATATAGAGAACTTGAACTTGAAGTTTACGTACTTTATGAGTATTAGCTCATTACATATGTATGAACAAGTTTCAATCTTTTTACCTTTATGAATACCGTTGTCTGGATTAATTAGTTTGAGAATTTCTTATAAGGTTCTATGCTAAGTTTTTAAGCAACCAAGAATAAAAATAAGTACTATTTTTCCTACGTTTTTATCGGTAGATTGATATTATGATTAATTTTTAGATATGTTCATATACTAAAAAAGAAATTAAACTAATTTGTAAGGGTGGTCATTACATGGTTTGCATATGAGGAAACCGAAAAAAATTCAGACCAAGCCAAATTTCAAATTTAGTTTTCTTGCCTGGTAGAATTCGAACCAAACAAAACCAAATTATCAAATTAATTATATTAATTAAATAGTATATTTTTTAATAGGTTAAAAATAAAATAGAAAAACTAAAAATATTTTTTGATATTTCATATTTCCTGGATACATTATACATCAACTTTTGAATTCCAAAATCTCAAAAGTTACTTCTTGTAACCCAAGTTTTATTTGAAACTTCATATTATATGTTTAAACTTTGGAGTTTGTAAATTTTAAAATTTACATTTTGTTTTAAAATTAGAATTTGTTTTTTTTTTTTTTTCAATTTTCAAAACTAACCAAACTGAAGTGTAATTTGGTTTTTTTGTTTGGTCGGAGTTGCTATAAATTTGTTTAGTTTGGTTTGGATTGAAATGAATTTATATTGCGGAAACTAAACCAAACAAAAACCCTAAAAAACCATAAACGGAATCAATTACTACCACTACTAATTTGCCACTATTAGTAGAATTCTGAAACCATAAATTAAGAATTAAAGAAAATATATTGCTATATATGATATGATTCCCTGAAAGTTATAAATAAAAGTTTGTTGTATGGATCACTTATTTGTTAGTCCATGCTTATGTTCATGCAATAGCAAATTTATGGCTTTATTGTATAACATTTGATTAGAGTTCATTCTCTTGTGATCTCTCTTCTTATACTTTGAAGTTTCAACATATAATTTTTATCTCACCAATTCAAAACAAACATATTTTTTAACCCAAAAAAGATCCATATCCAAACGACATTTTTCCTATTTCCGACATCAACGACTATGGTGGGTTGGATTCTTACGAGCTTGTGTTCTTCGAGTAAATTATCATCAGGTTTCAAAAATCCCCATCACCAAATGTTCTCTAGGGTTTCTTGTGTTTGTCCAGAACCTTCAATGGCTTCTTTATAAGCCAACACGTTTTGCTTCCGATGACATAACTCTTCCTCCGATTACTTGAGAGACGCCTCCTGAAAACACACTCAGATTTGTCATCGCTGCTTATTGTAGGGAATTTAGGATTTGTGGTGGAGATCTGGATATCAACTTCAATCGTGATATCACTTTCCGGACTGATATTCTACCCTATGCCTCGGTTACAAGAAATTCAGCCTACGATAATCCAAGTGGACACTTACGTTTCTAGGGATAGAAAACGTAAGCCAATATGCTAGAGGATTCTGTGAAAGTATGATGAAAAACGAGAGCTTAAGATCGTAACCCTCTTCTGTATAGGAAAAGTTGTTTCTATATTAAACAAGATTAGGGTTGCATTAGGGTTGGGCCGTCATTAGTTCCTTTGGAAGCAAGTAATTTTAATCCGGATTTAATGAGGATTTAGGGTTACCAAAACTAATGAGTTTCGTTAGTTTTATCATAATTACCCTTGGCCCCTTGGACCCCGTTAGGGGCGTTGCCCCGGACCCCCGACTAGTCGTCGAACCGGCTTCTAATTCGATCTTATACATGTGTGCACTCTGCACAACTCCGTACATATATTAGAGTACAAATTTTGAAGCCCCTTAACTCACATGTTAGTTTCAGTTACTTAAAATGATATGGTGACACTAAAATTACCAACACTTGTAAGCATCCTCCCTCTCCCTCTCGCAAATACAATGGAATTTATTGGCATTTGGTTCGTATATGTTGAGTTTAGGTCGATCATATTGAGGTCTTATTGATTGGTGTATTCCATAATCTTATATGAGCTTATTTTATTGCTTCTTTATATGGTCGAACATTTGGGGAAAGTTACGATAACTAGATTAGACATCTTAGTATGTAGATGGAAATCATGTTTATGAAGTGTTCTTCATTTTAAGTTTGTATCTTTGCTAAATTTCTCATGCATTGCCATTAATATTCATGCATTATGATTTCTTCTACTTTACTACATTTCCGTACATTGACTCCCATCTTTGTTATTCCGATCCACGGTTCTTCTTTGTTCCGGATAAATCCTTTTCTTTTTAGGCTTCTATCAAGGAAAAAAAATATAAGCATTCAAAATGTATATGTCGGGATCCAAATGGAGTCTAAAAGAAGATGATATATCAGTAACCGAGAGGAATTAGTTGAGGCAGATACTAAGATGTCAAAAAGTCAAGAATCCTGATCATGAATATTGGAAAGTAGGAATGAAGATTTCATGAAAGGGAAAATGTTCTCATCAAATATGAGAATGATAAAGGTAAATGTTTTTTTATCATCAACGATGAGAATGAATCATTTTAACCATACTAAGTTGACTTTCATCGCCTCAAATATAGGATGTTGAGTAACAAATTTTGTTAAAACTAACATTCTTTTTCAAACTAATGCATCTTATAATCGATTTTCCTTGTACCCTTCATAGGATTCTTAATAATCATTTATTTAGGGGTTATTTATGTATATCTGGTGAAGTTTTTGATTGTGCCTCGTTTTGTCTAAACTTACAGGATTGTTGGACACACGGATCTTTTGTGGATTGGGTTTGGATGGGTTTACTTGGATCTGGTGCAATATTTGATATGAAGATCAACCGGAAGTATAAAGGGTGAATGTGTTTGTTTCTCTCATAACTGTAATTCATATCACACACTCAACTCAAAGACTCTCTTGTTCTCTTGTCTTCATCAGTAGATTAGGGTTCTTCTTTGAGTTCTTCATTGTTCATAGAGTTCTTTTGTGTTTTAGGTTTAGTTGAGTGTAGATTAAAGAGTGTTTCGTAGTGAGGATTGGTTGTAGAGTGTTGACTGATTTCTAGTACAGAGTTTTTAGTTGTAAGCTTTGTGAAAGCAACTTGTTCTTTATAAATAAAATAAGATTTGTTGATTTTGGGGAATTCTTTGGAGCCATTTTCGACTAGTTTGAGAGTTTTGTTTTCTTTGGGCTAGGATTCTGTTGTATCTCATATGGTTTTATTTGATCTAAAGTTTCTAGTGTTTTTAGATCTAGATCGTTGTTCAGATCAATTTTAGTATTGATCAAGGGTCTCCTATGTTCTTAGGCCCCAGATTTGTTTCGATATTTATTTTTAATTGGCCTTGTTTCTTGATATGTATGGAGCTATTAATTATAATTGGGATTTGTTTCAACTAGACATCAATAATGGTTTTCTGTATTGTGAACTTGATGAAAGTGTTATATGAGTCTTCCACCTCGATATCACAGTAAAGGTGATAATAGGGTTTGGAAACTCTTAAAATCTTTGTATGGCCTTAAACAAACACCTAGGAAGTGGAATGAAAAAGTATGTTCCTATCTTCTTGAATTTGGCCTTGTGAAAAGTATAAATGGTTTGTCCTTATTTCTAAAATTTAAGAATAGTTGTTATTCTGTCAGTATATGTGGATGACATTATATTAATTGAAAATGATTTAGTTGAAATTATTGATAATGTTAAACTTTTTAAAATCTATGTTTTTAATTAAGGATTTGATAAAACTTAAAATTTCCCTTAATATTGAAGTTATTGATGTTGATAATTTGTTAGGGTTTAAGCCTATCAAAGAAAATAATGCTTAGAACTTTTGGATGATTTGGTATGTTAGGGTTTAAGCCTATCAAAATTCCTTTAGATTCCAATATTGTTATTAGGAGTGATAGAGTTGATGAAAATGATTTTTTTATTGCAAAAATTTAATGAATTTTAGAAATTTATTGGGAAACATATGTACTTAACGATTACCAGACCAGACATTTCCTATGTTGTGCAAGTTTTTAGTCGGTTTATGCACAATCCTAGGAAATCTCACCTTAAAACAATTTGTTGATGTTGACCGGGAAAAGTGCTTATTGTCTTGGAGATCTGTTTATGTTTTTTGTGTTTTTGGCAGATTCTCTTATTTTTTGGAAAAGCAAGAAGCAAGATACAGTCTCACGTTCATCTGTAGAGTCTGAATACCTTGGTCTTAGTATTATTACTTGTGATGTTATTTGGATACTAAAAGTTTTGTTTGATCTTAGGATTAAAGATTTGCTCATGGTTCTTATTTTATGTGATAATGTTTCTGCAATAAAATTGGTTTGAACTTGGTATTTCATAAAAAAAATATTTGGATATTGATACTCAATTTATTATAGAAAATGTGTTTAAAGGTTTAGTTCAAGATTGCAAAATTGATTCAGGTCAAAATGTGGCTGATATTTTCACTAAAGCTTTGATTTCTGGTCAACATAATTTTTTGTGTAAAAAAGTAGGTCTTATGGATGCTTTTCAAAATAAGTAATGATTTTTTAATGATTAATTTGTGTGTGTGTGTGTTTTTTTTGGCGGGGTGGGGGGGGGGGTGGGGGGTGGGGGGATGTTAAAAATATGAACATTTTTCGTATTTCAAACTTATCGTTGAAACTTACAATGTCTTGGGTTGTTTGTGTTTGCTTTCTAAATATTCAAGGGTTAGTATGTAAATGTTCTTGGTATGTTATTTAACAAATATTGTGGTTTAGGGGCTAATTATGTATATCTAATGAAGTATTGGATTACGCCTCGTTTTTTCTAAACTTACAG